GGATTTGAACTCAGGTCTTTCTGACTCCAGGCCTGGGCCTCCCTATATTGACCTATATTACTATAGTGCCTTTAGCTCTTTTCTAAAATGAGCTCTATTTGAAATGGACATAATATGAGTATACACTGAAAAATTTCAATAATAAGCTACATTCAGGCTTTATGCAAGTCAGATTTGGGGAGAAAAGTACAATCTTTATTCAGCCTAACATGGTAGATTCTAAACTCCCAGGGCAGCTAGGTGTTGCAGTGGATAGAGTGCCAGGCCCAGAGTCAGGAAGACTCATTTTCCTGAGTTCAAATCTGGCCTCAGACACTTTCCAGCGATATGACTCTGGGCAAGTCACTAACGCTGTCTGCCTCAGTTTCCTCATCTGTAAAAGGAGCTGGAGAAGGAAATGGCAAACCCTTCCAGTATCTCTGTTAAGAAAACCCCGAATGGGGTCATGAAGAGTCAGATATGACTGAAATGACCAGGCAACAAGAACAAACTCGTAGCGGGGACCGTGTCATACTTCTGTCAGAGCTGCAATAAACACTCAATACCTACTTATTGGATCAATTCAACCAAAAGATTAAATAATATTTACTATTGCCACACCTCATGTTGCTGTGGGACTCTAGAGTTTGAAAAGTACTTTTCCCCACAGTGACCCTCTGAAGTAGCTAATAATTGCACTAATCATACTCATCTTACAGAAGAGGAAGCTCAAAAGTGGAGTGACTTGGCCAAGGTCACACAGTTAGTAAGGGACAGAGATGATCCTTGCACCTCAATCTTCTGATTCTCAGGACCAAATTCATCCCCCTACCCTACGCTGTCTCTCATGATGCTGATACAAGGCTTGGGAGGCTGGACAGGAGATTGTATTTAGGCCATACTACTGTTCACTCACCCTTCTGGTACCTTGGTTTCCCCAGTCACAAAGGGGGAAGAATGAATGTGTAGTATCTGCCTAATGTCAGTGTTTTCACTGAGCAACTTGCTTGAAGATTGCACCGAGAACTAGGGATGTAGGGATGGCAGCTCACAAGAACAAAGCTATACAGATATGCCTTGTATGAACGGACATGCCCAAGCGAAATTACAATGACATATTACATTTGTCACGTGGGAAAAACACATCTTTCCCAGTCCAGGAGGTAACAATAAGCCAGAAAAGAGAAATCAAAGAGACATAGAATCAGATTACTTTCCATACTCCCTCCCCACACACATTACAGATTTGATTTAGGCCAGAGGGGACAGAAAATATAGTAGAAGGAATACTGAAACAGAAAATAGAGGATCAGGGATGACGCCTCAGGTCTGCCACTTTCCCACTACGTACTCTGTACACGTCCACTGGCATCTCTGAGTCTCAGTTTCCTCTTCTGTAAAAATTAGAAGAAGAAGAATCTATGTCCTTCCTATCTCATAGGGTTGTTGTGAAGATCAAGAGATATAAAGTATGGTCTGTGAAAGTATTTTGCCAACAGTAAAGAAGAGTTAATAGGCCACTTTGTTAAGCCCATCCACCTACTCCCGGGTAAACGCCAAAGAGCAGTGGCCTTGCTCACGTCATCTCTTATTGAGTCTGGTAAGAACTTCCCTACTTAGGTTCTAAAGGACTAGAGATCTACTGCTCCCGGCCCTGGGCAAAGATCTTGGGAGGGGGGCTTGTGATTCATCGAGGCTCCAGAACTCCCACATCACCCTCCTTCCAAGCTGGGGCTCTCACTGTTGCAGAGCTGACGCCCTCAGCAGCATGTATCTCCCTTTTGCACATACACCCACCACTCATGGCTGGTGAAGAAACATGCATTGGGGAAAATCAGGTGAGAGAATCAGAGCTACAGCTGACTAAATGACAAGGAGGCAATCGGATAATTGGGGAAACAAAGGGCCCTGAACAGGTAGAAGAAAACATACACTCCAGGGAGTCCCAGTAGCCTCTCTGAGTCATTATCTTCCTTGATATCTGTCCTTCCATTCCTTACCCACAGGGAGTTGGCAGCGAGCAAGGAAAGCTATCTACTTAGAATACCAAAGGAAGCATAAACATTTTGGACAGGGCTATGCAAGGTAATAGAATAATATGCCCAACATTTATTTTTATAGCATTTTTATAGTTTTTTGGGTGGGGGCATCTAGGTGGTGGAATGGATAGAATGCTGGGCCCAAAGTCAGGAAGACTAATCTTCATGAGTTCAAATCCAGCCTCGGACACTTACTAGCAATGTGACCCTGGGCAAGTCACGTAGCCCTGTTTACCTCAGTTTCCTCATCTGTAAAATGAGCTGAAGAAGGAAATGGCAAGCCATTCCAGTGTCTTTGCCAAGAAAACTCCAAACAAGATCATAAAGAGTCAAATATGACTGAAATGACCAAACAACAGCAAAAATAGTTTTGTGGGTTCTTTAGGCACTTTCTCTTTCTTTATCCTTATACACACACACACACACATATACACAGAATGACTGGGCAGGTGTTACCCCCTTCCCCTAGTTCTACAAACCAAGATCCAAAAAAAATGAAAGTGATTTGTCCAATATGAGATAGGGGAAGGAACAAGTATTTATATGCTAGGTTGGTTTTTTTTTTGAGTTGTTTTAGTCACATCCAATGTGATCCCTTTTGGAGTTTTCTTGGCAGAGATACTGGAGTGGTTTGCCATTTCCTTCTCTAGCTCATTTTTACAGATGAGGAAACTAAGGCAAACAGGATAAAGTGATTTGCCCAGGGTCACACAGCTAGTGTCTGAGGCCAGATTTTAACTCAGGTAGATGAACCTTCCTGACTTCAGGCTCTGCACTCCATCTACTCCACCACCTAGCTGCTTCTAAGAATTTATATAGCGCCTACCTACTATGTGTCTGGCACTGTAAACTCTTTAAAAATATCATCTCTTCTGATCCTTGCAATAACTTGAGAGGTAGATGCTGTTATTATCTCCATTTTAAAGTTCAGGAAACTTGGGCAAGCAGAGGTTAAGTGACTTGGCCAGGGTCACATGTAAGTGCTTAAGACAGAATCTGAATTCAGATCTTCCCAATTCTAGGCCCACATTCTAACCACTGGGCACCTGACCTACCTTGATATGACATCAAGGTAGCGACTTTGCCAAGACTACAACCCAGGATTACTGATTCCTATTCTGGTGCTCTTTTAATTACACCACACTGTCTACCTACGGACTCTTTCTTGTATATGAAAAATCAGGACACCTTCTGTCTTGAAGCAGTTTAGGTAAAGCTGCCTCAGGGGGAAAATGTGGTAAATAATAATAGTAATAATAACAGACATTTGTAAAATTTCGCAAAGAGTTTTATAGGTATTATCTCATTTGAACCTCACAATAACCCTCTCTGGGACAGGTATTACAAGTATTATTAGCCCTATTTTATATATGAGAAATTGAGGTTCAAAGAATTACACACTATTTGCCCATAGTCACACTGCCTTGGAAATAGGATTTGAACCCAGACCTTCCTGATGTGAAATCCAGCACATGCCAGTGATCACTATTGTTTTCTTGATTTTCTGATGTTTCCTATATTTAGGAAAAGCACTTTGTAAACCATAGAACACTATAAAATTTGAACTATTATTATTATTTTTAAAAATAACCAACCACTGCCTTAATAATGGAGCCAGCCCAACAGTATGAGATGAAGAGATCAATTTTTAAGTTTAATTATACACTAATTAAATTGTTTAAGAGACAGAGACTATTCCACCAAAAACATCTAGTCCTTTATAGAGGATGCCATGCCACTTTGATGTGGCATTCAACAAATACTTATTATGCATCTGCTATAAACATGACCATGTACTAGACACTGGAGAATAATGAGAATAATGAAACCATCCCTCTTCTCAAACTACCAGAGAGGATATGGTATGTCTATAGATAAGCATGATACAAGCAGGAGTAAGAAGAAATCAGAGCATCCTAGATTTAGAGCTAGGAGGGACCTTGTAGGACCATCAGGTCCTTACTGGGGCCTAAATAAGTTAAGTGACTTGCCCAAAGTTACACAGCAAGTAAGTAGTAGAGCCGGTATAGATCCCTCATCCTTAGAGCCGGTATAGATCCCTCATCCTTATGAGTCCAAATTTGACAATATTTCTGTTGTACCATACAATGTAGAATGTGATAGGGACAAAGTAAAGAGTCAAAGTTCCATGGAAATTGAGGAGATAAGCTGAGACATCCAAGGATAGTGGACAAAAGCCACTGTATTTAGACTCATAGTGCCAGGGTCCAAATCCCAAGTTTGTAACTTTGGGTGCTTCCCTTCTCAGGGCCTCAGGATTCCTCATTTTTAAAATGGAATTGGATTACATAATCTCTAAAGGTCCTTTCCAGTTCTAAATCCTAGCATCCTAAACTATTTTCCTCTGTGTGTGCACATGTGTGTGTGTGTCTATGTTTTTTGGAGCAAGGAGGAGGTGGAGGATGAGGGAAATGAGTGCCTCGGGGAGTTAAGGAAGGTTTTATGGAAGAATTAGCACCTGAACTGTACCTTGAAGAAAAAGAAATTTCAACTGAAAAAGATAGAGTTCATTCCAGGCATTAGGCTCATATATATTCACAGAGACAGTGACAAGAAAGCTTGTGAAATGAATATTGTCTGCTTGGATGCCCCTGGAGACAATGGTGAATGGATGGGATAAACAAAAGGCGAAACCATCGAACGCTCACACAGACACACACACAAGAATAAATCCAAGGGGATGGAGAAAACACTCAGCTGTTAGAAGCACTGTGAGAATAAATATAATTTTTTTTGTTCTCTTGCATATGACCTTTTCACTTGCTGAATAAAGAAAGTATTTGAGTTGCTTAGCAGCACACGGAATTACACTCTTTACAGATTACCTTTCAAAAAGGTACCGTTTTTCTCTTTTAAAAAATCTTTTACCACAACTCAATGTTGTGGTTATTCACTGTAACTATACCATATACGGTATTTCCAAGGGATTAAATACCTTGGGGTTGATTTTTGGTTTCTTACCAGGATCTGTGCAGTTTTTAGCCTCTTGAGTTCCATTAACTGATGCCATCAGCTTTCTGTTCCTCCACACTTCAGGTAATCGATGTTTGCCTTTGGAAGCTGTTTCATGTCCTATATACAAATAATAACAGCTAATGTTTATATAGTGCTTACTATGTGCCAGGTACTGTGCTAAGTGCTTAACAAATATTAACTCACTTGATCCTCAAAATAACCCCAGGAAGCAGATGCTTTTATTATCTTCCTTTTATAGATAAAGAAATTCAGGCAAATAGAGGTTAAGTGAACTAAGTTCTTCTTGACCCCAGACCCAGCACTATACACTGGGTCACCAAGTTCTCCACATCTCCGCATGCTCCCTAGAGTTATGAAATTTGGTCATTTATAATCCCATCTGTAGAACAGCCACTCACATTTCTACGGTACTCTACAATTTACAAAGTACTTTTCTCCCACCATCCCTTCAGAGATAGTTAGGTGGCTTGAGAATGATCATTCCCATTTTAAAAGAGAGGACAGTGAGGTTCAGAGAGCACTCTTGTGAACTGGCACAAATCACACAGCTAGTAAAATGACAGAGAAAAGACACAAGCTCCAGTCTTTCTACTCTAGTTAGAAGTATTCTTTCCACTGACCTATAACTATCTCTAGCAAAAATGATTCCATTTTATTTCTTTGGTCTACCTATAGTACATTCTTTTAACGAATATGCGTAGAATATGCCCATAGTCATTGATTTATATCATAAGAGTCTATTACATGCATGGCAATAACTGTACAAATTTTTATAAGCATTTTGAGAGTTACTCCTGATCTATATTTAAAATGACCATTTTACGTCATTCTCTGTTTAGAGTAAAATCCTCCTCTTTTCTCTCTGGGTGGCTTGAAAAAAAAAGTATTGGATCAAGTGTCAGAAAAGCTGGATTTTTAATCTTGGCTTTGCTATTGGCTAACTGTGTGACCTTGGGTAAGCAATTTCTTCTCTCTGGGTCTTAATTTTTTCAGCTGTAAAATGAGTAGATGAACTAAACAATACCTAAGAGCTCTTTCAGTTCTAAACATCTTTGATTCAATACTGTTAAGTTAGATACAAGGACATAGAATAAATATTATCATCTAAGGGCTGTTCAGCATTTTGGAATTTTTGGTGTATAAGGATGGAAAAGGCATCACATGTATCCAACTGCAAAGCAGCAATTATCAATGTATTCAATTGACTACTCCAGTTGAATTGTTTGTTTGTTTGTTTTTGTTTGCAGTTGAGAGAACCTCTTTTTACTAAGTGTCCTCAAATTGTCAGTTACAGGTAGTTTAAAAGAGAATCTAGCCATAACGGCTTACTGTGTGTCTCACCTTATTTTACACTCTCTCTCTCCCATTGTCTTATGATTCCTATTACTTATCTTCTGTGAAAAGCAGACCGGACTTGTCTCTCCACAGTTTTTCAGCTTAATAAATGCTAGTGGACCAACTGACTTCTTGGCAATGGCTACAACACTCTGCCTTTCTTGGACATTGAACAATAGGGACAGAATAATTGGGACACGGCATTCAGAGACTCTGAAAGATTTCAGTAATTTAGCTAATGGCATGACCATTCATACATCCGTCCTTGTCCCTGCCTGATTTCTTCTGTCCCTTCCCCACACCTCCACCCCAAATTGATGACCAATCTTTGGAATTAAATATGACCATATCCAAGACCCTCCATCTCCCTTTGCTCCTGCACTTTAAGGGGGAAGATGGCACGGGGTACCTTTGCTTCTATCAGGTAGAACAAGAGCAAAATGGAAAGGTGATCCTGGAATAAACACATGGTCTGAAGCCTTCACCTTGCCTTTTCCCTGAAGAAGATTCTCACACCTGGATACTATGCTAGGATTACTACCACCAGGATACATCTGCTTGGAACTCGACCAGATCTGGGTTTGGATATCTGAGAGGCTTTTAGGTTTGCCTTTCACAGTAAGCAGACACTCCGGGTGCAAATGGTGGTGGAGGTGGTGGGAGGTGGTGCTAGAGAGAACCAGGGAACTCAGCAATGCAAAACTAGAGCTTGCGGTGGTGGAAGGGGCACTGGAGTTAGATCTTAGTTCCAATCTACCTGTATGACCTTGGGCAAATCCCTCAACTTCTCTGCCTCGGTTTCCCCTTTTGTTCAAAACAAAAAGCGAAATCAAAAACAAATGCCTAGATTGGACGACGCCATCTCTAAAGTCCCTTTCAGATCTTTTATATCCTATGCGCTTTCATGGCTCACAAACCCAGGAGAGAAGAGAGGATGAGTACCTCAGCTAAAGCAAAGGGGTGACCTCGGGCATGCCCTTCCAGGGATCCAAACTCTGCCCCCCTCGCCCGACCCCTCACTCTCAAGGGGATCCGCAACCCCTCTCCCACTCCCTCCACCTACCGAGGCTGGCTAGCAGATTGGTCGCGCACCACACCAAGGACAGGACCCCGCAGATGAAGCCAACCTGCTGCAGCCACATCTCTCGCCGCCTGTGAACTTTGCGGAATTGGAGAAGCCCCTGGAGCCCGCGCGCAGGAGGCAGCGGCGGCGGCAGCGGCAGCGGCGCCATCCCCGAGCGAGCGCCTCGCCTGGGCACACACGGTCCGGAGCGGTCGGAGCTGGGGAGGGACCCCGAGGCCAAACCGCGGATTTCGGGAAAGGAAGAAAGGGGAGAGGGAGGTCTCAAAGGCGAGCAGCTCTCGAGAAGGTCTTCATGGCCCGGACGGAAGTCAGTAGAGGAGTCCAAAAAGGGAAGAGGCGAGCGCGAAGAGCGCTCAGAGCCCGGCTGCCACCCTGCGCCCTACGCAAGCCATGGCCCCGGGACCGAAAGGAGCCGCCAGCGGCGGCGGCTCCCTAGACAGCCCTCGGGGTTCAGTCGGGCGCCCCTACCTACCTGCCCAGCCCGACCACCGTCTCCCGTTAGCTTGGTCCCTCGGGCGCTGCCGCTGCCGCGCTGCCGAGGGGAGCGCCCCGGCTTCCCCGGGGAGCTCGGGCTGCAGCCGGAGGGCACGATAGCAGTGAGCTTACGTCCCCCGCAGCCTGCTCCGGGAGGGCAGGGGTCCAGGGGCCGGCTGCTCTAAGTGGTGCCCGGGGCTCAGCGCCCGGGAGTCACCCCTCTGGCGGTCAGCATCCACCTTCCAAGTTTAGGCACCAGCTCGCCCAAGCTTCCTCCAGCTCTCCTCTGGTGTGCAAAGCGCAGGTGGTAAAATGGCCCGGGAGACTGGGCGGCTCGGGGCTCGGGGCTCAGTCTGGCGCCCCGAACCAGACCCGGGCCTGCTGTGCAGTGCACGACTCCTGCCTGGATACCCCGCAGCCGCTTTCTTCAGGGAGGGGTGGGAGGTGACCAGCTCCTGCCTCGGGCCCCGGTTTTCCCCCGGTAACTTTCTCACAAGGTTCCCCGACTCCTCGCGCCTGCGTCTGAGATGCTTCAGCGCCTCCCTCCCTCTTCTTTCCCTCCCTGTCTCTGTGTCTGTACACATACACATGCACACACACATACATACACACACACACGTGTGTACTCCCTTGGGGCGCTCTCTCCCTCACGCTTCTCTCCGCCCCCGCCCCCAGGATTAGCTGGTGACCAATGTAAATAATCTCCCTCTTATCCCCCCTTCCCCTTCTCCGCCCCCTGGTAAAGGAATGAAATGTTTCTGTGCAATCCTCGGCTGCTGCAGCTCTTTTTTTTAAACCTTAAGTGGATCTAGAATTTGAGATTTCTGCATAGTAGCTCTCGCCCGCAAGGATTCATGCAGACCACCATCGATGTCCCCCCAGGACCAGTGCATATTAGGATAACCTTTAAAGTTATAGAATAAACCCCTTTACCAGAGATTATCTCAAAAGATCAAAGAAGTTGAGCCTTAGAAATAATCTAGTCCAGAACCCTCATTTTACAGATAAGGAAACTGAGGCTCAGAGGGGATGAGCGATTAGTCTCAGTTGGCGTAGGTAGTAAATAGTAGAGCTGAGCTAAATCCTCTTTAACTCCCAAATCCAGCAGCCTAATGAAGTTGATGAGGAAAATAGCATAGACCATTAGAGCTGCAGGGGATCTTAGATATCATTTAGATACTCCGGGAAAAGCACTGAATTTAGAATCGGACGACATTGTCTTAAATCCCTGGCTCTTATTTAAATCTGTGTGACCTTGAGAAAATCACTTCTCTGATCCCCATTGTCGGCATCGGTAAAACGAGTGGATTACAGAGAATTCTGTAGTCCCTTCCAGCTTAAAATGCTATGATCCAACCCATTTAAATTATAAATAGGGATGCTAAGGTGAGACCCAGAGAAGGTAAATGAGCCAACTGGTGAACTAGTAAATTTGCCAACGAGTGTGGCTCAGTGGATCCTGGAGTCAGGAGAACCTGAGTTCAAATTCGGTCTCAGACACTTACTGTGTGGCCCTGGGGAAGTCACTTAACCCTGTTTGCTTCAGTTTCTTCATCTGTAAAATAACCTGGAAAAGGGAATGGCAAATCACCCTAGTGTCTATGCCAAGAAAACCCCAAATGGGGTCACAAAGAGCCAGACAAAATAACAACAATAACAAAAGGCAAAGCCTGACTCCAACCCAAATTTGCTGACTTCTCTGTCTAGCGTTGTCAAATTCCGTTTCCATTGCTACCCTCTTATTTAGGATTATAAAGTTTAGACTTGGAAGAGGCCTATTTAATGTCATCTCCTTGTTTTTACAAATGATAAAGCAGAGGACTAGAGAGGTTAAATCACTTGCTAAGGTCACACAGGTAGCAGGTAACAGCAGAGAATTGAGCGTAGGTCTCCTGCCTTCAAATTCAGGATTCTTTCTACTATAACACAATGCATGTGAATAGAGTGGAGTATAAGAGGAAAAAGTGAAAATAAATGATAGGAGCTTTGCTAACAGCACTCCATCAAGAAAACATCAGCATTGGCCTCCTAAGGCATTCTCCCAGAGGGATACCTGTTGGTGAAGCTGAGTTAAGCCAATGCCGGGATCTGGCTAAAAAGTCCCTGGGACTCAGTCTTACATACTCCAGTGAGAGAAAGCATGAAGATTTCTCAAGCTTCTGAGTCTTTCTGTTTCTCAGGGGTTGCATATGTGTGCTCACGAGCCTGTGTGTTTTCAGTGATATACCCAAATTTCTAAATCTTAAATGACTAAGAAAAAATGAGGGGGTGGGGAAAAGGAGGTAATTATAAAACAGCATCTCCGATGATGTTTGCATTCAATCAGTGGTATTATTGTAAACAATGGTACAACAAAATTTCAGAAGAGATTTCATAACAAGGTCTTTTTTCCCCTAGTTTAAAGGAATGGTCCAAGATCCTATATTTATATTGCAAGATAGTTAACAATTCAAATTTTCAGAATAATAATAATAACCCATTTATAGCATGATTTATATACACTTTCTCATTTGAAACTCAGAAGAATAACTCACATTTACATAGTACTCTAAGGTTCAAAGTGCTTTCTCCTACACAAGCCTTTGAGGTAGAACACGTGAATATTGTAACTTTCATATTACGGAAGAAGAAATTGAGTCTCCAAGTGGTTTAGTGACTTGCCCAAGATTACAGAGGTGTCAGGTGACAAAAGGTAGATTCAAACTCAGAGCCTCTGACACCAGACCTAGTGTTCCTTTCATTATACCATGCTGAAGTAATAATTTACCCATTTCCCACCCTCCCCTTGAAGTCATGTACTTTACTCTGTGGTTCTAAAACATATAACAGAGGCCATAATTATTTGTAGCAGCACAAAACTGCTTCAGCGGCCTACAAAAATGCTGGATTTACTGACACACAAGTGACTATGTCAGAAAACTCCATGGGAAATAAAAGAAAAAGTGGTGCCCATGTCATCAGCCTAGACATAATGTCCAATAGAAACTTCTCTTCCATTTGACTTCTTTGGTATCAAACACAGAAATAAGTGAGTGCAATAATAGTGTCTACCATGAAAAGAGCCCACACTTATAGAAGCCAATGAGTTCAAAGACCTGAATGTATGTACAATTAAAATGTAGTCTTTGAATTCCACAAATTTAGTTTTAAAAATATTTCTTCAAACCAAATGCTGCAGAAAATTAGTTGAGTATTCACAGAAAATTCTAGAGCAACTAATATGCTTAATTTGTTTCTCTTAAAATTATTTAAAATAGTTTTGTATCCCATTTTAAGAAACGATCCCAAAAAGAAACGTTCAAATATGATTCTTTCATCTTAATTCATGTACCGAAGGGCTTGCCATTCAGACTATAATCTCAACACAAACAAAGTCCTTGTCATACATAGAGTCAGGATTCTTTTCTAAACCTGGCCTTGTGTTTTTAGGTCACTGTATTCTATTTCATGGATAGCCAAATTACTTAGATACCCTCTATAGGTATTTCTCACCAAGGGTCAAGGATATACAGACACAAATGAATAAAAAAAGATTATGTGATCACACACACCTCCAAAAGGTCAGGTGCCAATTCCTCCATGAAGTTGTCCTTGGCTTCTCTTTCACTGCTTTCACTCCCCAACCCACCCCATAACAAACACACCCTCAACTCCCTGCATCTGGAAGAAATCTCTTTCTATTCAAATTTCTTATAGGTTTTTTTTTAGGTCTCCTTTGTGCTTACCACATTTATATGTATCAATTATTTGTGTATATGTCTGAGATATTTGTGTGTATGCATGCATATGCATGTATGTATATATACACATACATATATGTATACATACATATATTCTGGACATATATGACTAGAAAAGGACATAGGCCCATTATATAGTGACAGCTAGGGAAAACAATTGGATGGTTTTGAATGCTATACTGGTAACTGCAAATGTTCAGAGAGCCAGAGGAAGGCTTCTAGTACATTTAATAGATATTCTCTGAGATACATAGAAAAATAATGGCATGACTCACATAAAATGAGAAGACATAGATGAGTTACATCCTGAACTGATGGGGGGAGTACCAGCATCATGAAGATCACATGGCCATCAAAAGGTTGAGAAAACATGTCCAAATCTGCTTCTGCCATTTGCTTCTGAAGGAAATCTCTCTATTCCGAAGCTCTTGAGCTGGGAAACTCTACTTTCATGTGTCTGATCTAAAATGCACCCAGAAGAAATAGAAAGGCAGAAGTTAGCCAGGAACTCAAGGCCCAGGAACTCCCCTCTCAGGCCAGCTGTTCAGCTGGTGCATTGCTGGCTGTGTTTCAGCCACGAGTCAGTTGCTCCCAGGAGAGAGGACAGTGTATTGGCTCACAAAGAGAAAGAAAGACAGAGGCAGAGGGAAATAGAGAAAGAAGTTGCCAATGCCAAGTAGAGGGATGGCTCCTCTGATGAGAATCTGTCCCCCCAGTCTCAGACAGACAATGTAGGCAGCCAGGGTTTCTGAAACCAAATCCACAAAGTGCCAATAGCCACGCTCGCCTGTGAACCCCATAAGATCTCATTAGGTTGATTGGGGAGCAGCTTCATTTAATCTCATTAGGTTGAGTGGAGAATTCATCAAAAATGATTTCATGAATCCATTCTATCTCCCACTTCACATATATTTTAATATATGTACTATATTAGAGACATTGAATTCTCATGACATTGAAACTTCTTAAATTAGAGAATCAAATATATGCTTTAGGAAGATCTTTTAGGCAACTGTGTGGAGGATGGGTTGGAAAAAGGAAAGCCTGGCAGCAAGGAGACCAATTATGAGACTATTACAATAATCCAGATAAGAAACAATGAGAGACCTGACCAGACAATAGGACAGAGAGGTATCATGGAGGTAGTGTCAAAAACACTTGCCAATTAATTGGTTATAGAGTCATGTGTTATTCTCCCTACATACGAGTTCACTTCCTTTGGTCTAAAATGTAATCCTTTGTACAAACAGCCTTTATTCATGATACAGATATACTAATAATTATTATTACAAGTATTGTTTATATAGTGCTTTAAGATTTAAGATCTTCAAAACAGCCCTGGGAGAGAGGTGATATTATTATCCCCATTTCAAGAAGAAACTGAAACAGATGTCACCTAGTAAGTGTCTGAAGCTGCACTTGAATCCTGGTCTTTCTGATTGCAGGTGCATTGCTCTACCCACCAGCACCACTTGGCTGCCTCTATGCATATATTAAACACATATTCCAAAAACAAAGCCTTGGACAGAAAAGGCATTTAATGAATTTGTGTGGAAATGAAATGAATGGCCTTCATCTCCTTGTACTTTTTGAAAACTTCTTTTCTCTTCTGTCTGCTATTCAGTAATTCCCTTGGAGAAGAGGAACTAGAAAATCTCAGGGCAACAGACAAGAGTGCCATCTGGAAGGCTAGCAGACAGATCTTGGCAAAACTTTTAGGCCAAAGGAAAATAACCACAATGTTTTGTGGAATCTCAGAGCTAGAAAGGACCTCAGAAGAGTCACCTTGGGGAATCCCCTATACTCTGCTCAAATCAATCTATTCCACCAAATAGTTATTACATGGTTACTATGCACAAAGCACAATGCTAGGTGCTGGGATAGCAAAACGAAATGCCTTGTCTGTAAAAAATTGTATGGGGGAGGAAGCAAGGAAAGGATATTCTTCTCT